GTTTATTTTATCAAAGTACCGCCATTTGTCCAAATAAGAAACTCTTGATTCATCTGAGGTAGTTAGTTCTGGAAATAAAAAACAATATATACTGAAAATATAATACAAGAGAATATTTGAAAAAAAGGAAAAAAATGCAGACTTTATGGCTAAACAATTCAGTACAACCTCTTAAAGTGGAAATGAAACATTTGGCCCACCTTCACCTCAATTGTTATAGTTTTCTAATGTGAGAATTTTAAACTGTCTTTTGAATTGAGCAATGTGTTTACTTTCTTTGATCGTTACAGGTAAATTATTCCACAACCTCACCCCATTGACAGATATGCACATGCTTTTGAGTGTGGTACGCACCTTGGATTGTAAGAGATTCCCTCTCCTTCTTAAATTATAACCACTTTCTCTTTCTTTAAACCATTTTTGTATGTTATTAGGGAGTAAGTTGTTTTTGGCTTTGTAAATAATTTGTGTGGTCTTGAAATCCACTATATCCATAAATTTTAATGTTTGTAATTTTAAAAATAAATCATTTGTTTGTGCATTATAGCCAACATTGCTAACTATTCTTATTGCCTTTTTCTGCATGGTGTATATTGTCTTTAGGGTGGATTTGTAGGTATTACCCCACACCTCAGCACAATAGGACAGATAAGGAAGAAAAAGTGAGCAGTATAGAATGTACATTGTTTTCTGATTCAGTTTGTGTTTGACTTTACAAAGTATACCATTAGTCTTTGCCAATTTAGAGCAAATGTGTTTGACTTGCGGTTTCCAGCTGAGATTGTGATCAATTATTACTCCCAGGAAGGAATTTTCATAAACTCTTTCTAATCTGGTGTTATCACACAGTACTTCAATGGTTAAGTCTTCTGGAATTTTGCGTTTCCCAAAAATCATATATTTGGTTTTCTTTGTATTGAGAGATAATTTATTTGTATCAAACCACAGTTTTAGCTTGGCTAGCTCTTCAGAGATGATCTTTAACAGCTGTTGGAGGTTCTCTCCTTTACAAAAGATATTTGTGTCATCTGCAAAAATCACAAATTTCAAAATATTAGAAGTATTAATAATATCATTTATGTATAATATAAATAATTTTGGTCCCATTATTGATCCTTGTGGTACACCGCAAGTTATATTTAGGAGCATTGACTTTTCCTCTCCCATCTGCACAAACTGTTGTCTATGTTCTAAATAACTTTTTATCCAACTGAGCCCTACACCCCTAATCCCATATCTTTCCAGTTTTTGAAGCAAAATATGATGATTAATTGTGTCAAAGGCCTTTTTAAGGTCAATAAATACCCCTATGGCGAACTTCTTGTCATCAATGCTGGTAGTTAGTTCTTCCACAAGGTCAATTAGAGCCAAAGATGTAGATCGATTTGGTCTAAAACCATATTGACTATCAGTTAAGATCTCATGCTTATCAATAAAACTGTCCAATCTGGTGGCAAATATCTTCTCCAAGATTTTAGAAAATTGGGGAAGCAATGAAATTGGCCTGTAGTTAGTATAAAGATTCTGCTCACCAGCTTTAAAGATGGGAATGACTTTAGCTATTTTCATCTTAATGGGAAAGGTGCCCAGTTTCAGTGAGAGATTGCAGATATGTGCAATGGGATCTGCTATAGCTACAATTACTTGTTTAATTAAGAATAGATCAATATCATCACAATCCCTTGATGTCTTGTTCTTAAAATTATTAACAATGTCAATTATTTCGGTTTTATCTGTATCTCTCAGAAAAATAGTAGCTGAGTTTCTTTCTTCAAAAATTTGTGAGACACCTCGCCCTTGTGGAGGGATTATCTCATCGGCCAGCTTGGGCCCGACATTTACAAAGAATCTGTTGAAGCCTGCCACCACTTCATCACTGTTTTTAATTATCTTACCATTATCAAGAAATTCATTTGGAAATCCAACACTTGTTTTTTTTCTTCTAATAATTGAATTTAAAATATTCCAGGTGCCCTTTATGTTATTTTTATTGGTTTCCAACAATTTACTATAATAATCTTTCTTACATTTTCTTAGGATATCCGTTAGTTTATTTTTATATGTCTTATATTTAATTTCTTTTTCCTCAGTTCTGTGCTTGATAAAGTCTTTATATAATTTATTTTTTTTTATGCAGGCATTCAACAGACCCCCCGTAAACCAGGGGTTATCTGGACGTTTTGATGTTTTCTTTGGTTGCTGAATTGGACAGTTTTTATGATATAAAGTCAAAAAAGTATTAAGGAATAAGTTATAAGCTGAATCAACATCCTCCTTTTCATAAACATTCCTCCAGTCTTGAACTAACAGATCATTTCTGAATTTATTCAGGGTGTCATCCGCTCTTAATCTCCTCTGCAGGTTTATTTTGCTGCTGTCTAAGTTCTTGTGATTACATTCATGGATAACAAACACCGGCAGATGGTCAGTGATATCGTTTATTAATAATCCACTTTCTAAATTACTGGTCATATTATTAGTAAGAATATTGTCTATTACTGTTGCTGAGTGGGTGGTAATTCTACTTGGTTTGGTTATACTAGGATATAGGCCCTTACTGTACATTGCATCTATAAATTCCTCTATTGCAGGTGATTTATTTGGATTTAAAAAGTCTATATTATAGTCCCCGCATAAAAATGCAACCTTCTGCTCGGTGTTTGAAACCATGGCCTCAAACACATCTTTAAAACTTTCAATGCTAGAGTTGGGTGCTCTATAGACACAGCTAACAATGACATTCTTCATTTTACCCATATCAATTTCAACAGTAATACATTCACAGATGTCATCAATCACAGTCGTCATACTCTCTACTATCCTATACTTTAACCTGTTGTCCACATACAGTGCAACTCCTCCACCCTTTTTATTTGCTCTATTCACAAAGTTGAAATTATAACCTTCTAATTCAAAATCGGTCCCTTTGTCATGGCTAAGCCAGCTCTCAGAAATAGCGATTACACTAAATTGCATGGTGTAATGCTGTAGATAGTCTCTGATCTTATTGAAATTTGCGTATAGACTCCTACTATTGAAGTGTATGATTGATATACCATGCTCTAAATTGAATTTCTCCTTAAAATGGTTTTCGGTGTAATAACAACAATTACTGGTTACACAATCAAAAAAATTACTTTCCGGGTCTATATCTATATCTTGTTCCTGCATAGTAATTGTTCAATGTGGTCGCACACAGTCGCCTTCCCAGTCACACACATCCAAATTTGAGCATATACACACCCACAAAAATAGATAATGAGACAATTTATCCAAACTGAATCCAACAAAAAAATTGAGTAATGGTGGTTTAAAAAATCGGCAGGTGTAGTGATAAACAGAATAAGTCCAATATGAGTCCATGGGGGATGTAGAAAAGGAATATGAGGATAACAGAAGGTCAGGCATCAGCCTTAGCCAAAAAGGAAGTAATAAACCTACATAGTATGTAGCAGGGCTGTTCCATATAGGCATACACCTACTCACCACCACCAAGCCAGGCTCTTCAAGGGCGAAAAAGATGTCTATAAGATAAATCTGGGCCACCAGTGAATGTTCTTGTTGGCTATACAGTTTCATATTTCTCCAGGTCTTTGAGGTCCCGGATTAGCAGGACCTTTGCCTCCTCACCAAGTGAAGCATTTGTGCGAATCCAGATTTTGCAATCCCTTGTCCATGTTGAATGGATTTTCTTTTGTTTCTTCAGTGCCCTTGCATGTTTAGCTATCTCAGCATTCCTTTTTGTAAGATGTTCGTTCACATACACCTGTGTGTCCTTCAGTTTCCTTCCTTGTTTCAAAAGCTCCATTTTGTGTTTTCTGTTCACAAATCTTAGAATGATGATTCGTTCCATTTGTCCATTTCTTTTGGGAAGAGTACGGCAAGCAGCGATACTCTCCTTATGTATGGAGATGTTGTTTCTGTTGAAGAACTGAATCACCTGCTCCTCCAGCGTTTGTTTTTCTCCCTCAGTTAGGTCCGCTCCACTGCTCTCCCCTCGGATGACGTTCGAGTAGGTGCGGTGTGTTGTTTTCAGGCCGCTAATGATCACATCTTCTTTTCGTGTATATTGCTCCAACTCATCAACTCTTTTCTCCAGTTCTGCAATTTTCTCGTCCTTCAGTGCGAGTAGGTTGTTTAGTTTCCTCACATCTTCAACCAAACCGCTTATTTTGCCCACATTTTCTGCCATTCCATCAATTTTCTTTACCAGTTCTTTCAAGGCTTTCTTGACCTCCTCCATTTTAAGTTTGGCCGGTGTTTCACACTTTTGACATATGTTATCAAAAGTGCCCAAAACATCAAAAATAATTGAAAATAAACACACCAGTTGAATCTCAATGACCATGTAAAGCCATAAACTTCACTTAACTGCTTAGGTGTCAAGTCATTTTCATGATTTTTGATGGATTGTTAGAGCCAAACATTCAGAGCTCCAGCACAGGCCCAGGCCTGATAGATGGATTAATATAGACAATGATGGACGGATTAATG